TCTGGGGTCCCCAGGGTAGGAAGGAGCAGCTCCAGAAGGGTGAGAGGAACTCTGAACGGGGTGGAAAGGATACGGGCTTCCCCTGACTCCCTGCTCCACATACAAATAGTGTGTACACACAGATAAAAGAAATCTCCATTAGATAGAATTAATGTGCTAGTAAACTGTGTTCTTTTGTATTTTATTGTAGACATTGTTATCGTAATTAATAAATGCATGACTTAATTTCACATGTGCCAGCCTTTGGAAGCCTGTCTTCTTACTCATGAAATTTAGACTTCCTGGCATTGTTCTGAGTCTTTGAAGTATGTTAACCCATTTAATATTCCCAACACTACCAACCAGGAGGCTTTGTGGAGGCACAGCCAGGTTATCCACCTTGCCTAAGGTCACAAAGCCAATGTGGAGCAGCAGGGCTTCGAACACTGGCCCTTGGCTCTGGAGTTCAGGCCTTAGCCTCACAGGTCTGACATCTCAATGTTGTACACAGTCATTTGATCATGACACTGAAGGGTCTCCTAGATGCCTTCAGTGCTACTCAGAGGCGGGTTATCATTTCCCCTCCGTAATCCCAAAAGACTTAGGGTGAAGTAATATCTTGTTCAGGGGCCAGGTTGGAGTCCTGAATGCACCCGTGCTGAGCAGCAAACAGTAAGGAAGGAGAGGCAGGAATTGGGCCCCTGTTTCGGGTACCCAAGATCTCAGACAGCCTGACCACAGGGTCGGGGGCAGAGGGTTTCAGAGTGGGATCCTCTTGGAACTGGACCTGGTCACATGTCAGGTCACCTAGACATGCAGGGGCTATGGAATGGTCAAGCTAGGCCCTGAGGAATCTCCTGAGGGGCAGGGGCATAGGGAAGCCAGGCAGAAATTCTTGTATATAGGTGGCAACAAGGGTCAGGTCTCCTTGCTGAGTAAGCCCTTGGCTCTGTGTCTTGTCTCACAGTTCCCATTGTTATATAGGGACTTTGCTGACTGAGTTGGCTGGTGAGAAGGTATTGCCCAGTTGATGCTCATGTGATCCTAGGACCAAATACATCCCTAGGAAAAGAGGTGAGGATATCATGGGATAAACGTGAGGTAGGCAGTAGGAGAGGACTACATAAAGGAGTTAACATTTTACATGTGAGTGGGGTTTTCCAGGGTGAACAGGAGTTCACTGCTGGGTAGATAGGGGAGTGGAATGGTGTTGTTGCAAGTGTGCTGCTCCCAAAACTTTTTTTAATCTACAAAAAGAAAGTATTCCTTGTGTCATGTAAGGCTCACAGGAAGATTAGATAGTGATTGATAATAGGATCCCATGTGAGATGGATTTCCCACTACAGACTAGCTATTGCTGTGGTCACAGAGGGGCAGTGGCAGGGGTAGAATCAGGAGTGAGGGCAGAAGCCCTGTCCCATGGCAGAGTGGAAACCTAGCACCATTTGGAGGCATCTTGTTACCTCACCCTGGTATTACTTTTGCTTAGTGTCTGTGGTTGAGCAGCCAGGCTTGGGGAATTCAGACTGGCCCCTTATTCAGGTAAAGCTTCTGAAGGCCAGCTTGCCACCATGTCATCATGGATTCTTTTTACCAGCCCTGCCCACTGCCTTCTCAATGCCCTGACAGCCACCCTGGAGCCCATTAGGCTGTGAACATTCTAGAAAGTTCTGGGGCACTCTGACGCTGCCCTTCATAATCTTCCTCTGCTTGGGCTGTTCAGTGCACCATTGACACCTGGTAGAACTGCCCTAGAGCTGGTGATATGTAGTCCCAGGAACTCTGACTCCAGGGCAGAGATAGCTGTCAGCAGAGAAGAGGTTCCAGGGAGGACCTAGTATGAGGACAGTGGGAAAACTGAGGCTGAAATTGAGATTGCTGACATTAGCACCCAGCATTTGCTTGGAATGTCCAAGCCCTGATGGTCACACATAGCCTCACATAAGAGCAGTAGGGAGGTCCTGGGTAGGGAAGAGGCATGGTGCCCACTGCAGCAGGAAAAGGTATCCAGTATAAGACGGCAGCATGGCGTAGGCAGGAAAGTCAAGGCATCTTAGTCAGTGTTCTGTCACCGTGAAGACATCATGGCCAGGGCAGTTCTTATAAAGGAAACATTTAATTGGGGCTTATTCTGTTATCATATGGCAGGGAGCATGGCAACAGGCAGATGTGGTACTGGAGAAGAAGCTAAGAGCCACGATGTCCTAATTCAGAGACAGACACTCACTGGGTCTAGCATGGACTTTTGAAACCTCAAATCCCACCTGGCACACTTTCTCCAACAAGGCCACACCGCCTAATCCTTCTCAAATAGTCCATTCCCTGGTAACTAAGCATTGGAATGTATGAGCCTATGGGGGCCATTCTTCTTCAAACCATCACGTTACTCCTTGACCCCCCCATAGGCTTATAGCCATTTCATAAAGCAAAATGCACTCAAAAGCCCCCATAGTCTTTCACAGTTCAACGTTGTTTAAAAGTTGAAAGTCGTCTGAGACTCACGGCAGTCTTAACTGTAGCCCCTGTAGAATCAATTTTAAAAGATCGCATACTTCTAATTGCAGTGGCACAATTCCTTTCAGCATTGTCGACAGCAGCTTCTCTCTCTTGGGCTGGCTCCACAGCAGGTCAGCAGGTCAGCAGTTCCCCTTAGCCGGTATCTCACAAGTCTGGCATCTCCAGCGTCACCTAGCAGTCCAGACTCCATCTCCACAGCTTCACTTAGGCGCCTCTCTAGGCCTTTGCGCAGGGACACCTTTGACACACACCTGACCTCAGTGGAGGAGGGAGATTGCACAACCCCTCACTTTTAATCTTGACTCTAAAGCCAGACCACAAGGCTGAAACTAACTACTAAGTTCTACTGCCTGATAGGGCTGGAACTTGACTCCTTCGTTCAATTGCATTTGTTTCAGTTTTCTGTTGTTGATGGTTTCCTTCACTGCCTAATCTTTTCTTTGATTCCTTTCACAAATTAGAAGCTTAGCTGAGTGGGGTCTTGCCCTGAGGTAACCACACTCTTTATTCCATTTAGCATTAGGCTTTTCTTTAAACATTTTATTTCCTTAAGCACTGGCTTGGCTCCAATATTACATTTCTTGGTGCTCCTCTTCTCCTCAAACTTGTGAATTTTGTGTTTCTTCTTGCTCCTTTTCTTTATAGATCCTTATAGATAGGCACAAGAGTAACCACCAGTAACCAGGCACCACAGTTAATATTAATCTAAAACTTCAATTTAGCTTCAGGAAGATTTTTTAGGACAAGGGCAAAAAGCAGCTACAGTCTTTGCCAAATTTCCCAGGAATGGTCTCTAGGTCACTTACTAATGTTCTTCCCCTCTGAAACTTCTTGAGTTGGGTCATAATAATTTACATCGCTCTGTGCACCACTGTCTCTCACACTCCTACTAATAAGGCCCATTAAACCCCACTTAAAGCATTCAACTGCTTTCTTAGTCCAGAGTCTCAAAGTTCACATTGTTCCAACAAGCAGCATGGTCAGGCCTGTCACATCAGTGCCCCACTCCTGGTACCAAATTCTGTCTAAGTCACTGGCCTATTGCTATGATGGGACACCATGACCAGGTGTCGCTCTGATAAGACCACTACCACAATTTTTGAGCCAAATTCAAAGCAAGCTTTAATTAAATACTGGCCAGGATAATGGACTCTAGTCAGGTCCATTCCAGGGTTCCCAGAAAATGGTGACAAGTCACATTTTGCAAAAGCTTATAAAGGTAAACCCACAAGGCTATGTATTTCTCACAAGGTACAATCAGGGACGAGTATATATCCTGACATATTTCCTAGCTGCACACCTTCCACCTACATCCAATCAGGAGCAAGCATACATCCTGATGTATTTCCTGCCTGTGTACCTACTGCCTCATATGATCAAGTACATCCGGTACAAATTGGTCAAACAAGCTTGTTTATGGGTGTGAAAACATGTGGCTTGTTATCTCCCATAAACAATGGCCTCTAGTATTTCAGGAAATATCTGTCCCTGAGTAAGGGGCTTACAGGTTAGAGGCATTTTGTTTCATGGATCTCTGAGCACAATAATTAAAACTTAAAACATAACTTTGGATCTCACATTTGCTTACAGTTTCAGGAGCTTAGTCCATTATCATCATGGCTGGGAGCATGTTGACAGGCAGGCATGGTGCTGGTGAAGTAGCTAAGCGCTGTATGCTGATCCATAGGCAGAGAGAGACAGAAGCAGAGCCAATGCAGGGACTGGACCTGGCATGGGATTTTGAACCCTCAAAGCCCACCCCCAGTGGCATACTTTTTCCAACAGTGTCACACCTATTCCAACAAGGCCACACCTCCTAAACCTTCTCAAATAGTTATCACTCACTGGTGACTCAGCATTCAAATATTTGAGCCTATGGGTGAAGGAGACTGCCAAACGGTGCTTACTCCTGGACCCCGGGTTAGGCACAATAGCCACATGCAAACACCTTTTCACAGAGAGGTCCTTTATGAAGCAAGAAGTTAAAGACTGCTTTCTGACTCAGGTAGAAAACAGCAGCAAACCAGGTTTTGGGGCTCAGAGCTGGAAGCTAGGGCTATATACCAGGGTCATGGGCTTCCCTGCCAATGTGGAGGCTGTAAAACCTGGTCAGGACACCTTAAGGAAGGGCATGGCAGTGTCCTGTCAATCATATGCAAGTTTAAATCCCAGCCCCAAGCCTGGATGGAGTGCAGCGGGAGGGAGTTTGCTTCTGCACAAGGGCTCCCTCTGGGGCACAATAATCCCAGTCCTGAGAGCTGTTTGACCCTGCCCTGCCCACAGAGCTTCCTCTCCCCAGCCTTGGATTGACATTACCAAAGATCCTTAGTGCCAGCACCAGGCTGAGGCTGAGATGAGGGTGGCAGTGCAACCTCTGGGGACAGCAGGAGAAGGCTAAAGCACATGGTTTCGTGTCTGAGGCCACCTGTGTGACCTGAGCGGGCAGGGTGCCAAGGGGCTTGCTGTGGGACCTTTAGTAACCCTGTCTCGTTTTACCACCCCAGGAGCTCCCTGGAGACCGGAAGCAGCCTCTCCACTGACCAGTACAGGTACTGTCCTGCATCTGCATCTGTGTCTCCTGCCTCAGGGCCACCAAGGCCCACATTTTCTGAATGCACCTGGGGTAGAGAGTGGGGAAGAATTGACGGTAGGAGGCCCCTCAGCTTCTCCAGATACCAGAGGTCCTACTGATGTACCCACTGAAAATGCATATCATTTAAACAGATCCCCCAAGCAAAGGCTTAGCCCAAAGCCTCCCCAAGAGCAGAATTGGGGTCCCCTGGAGGTCAGGCTGTGTTGAGGCTGATTTCTGCGAGATCCAAGGCTGGGAGTCCCCTGAGGAGCAGCCTGCAGGCAGTTCCCATGACAACCAAAGCTGGAGTCAGTGAGAACTGGGGATTTCCATTGATTGGCAGTGCACTTCCAGCATGGTGCTGCCTCTGTATGCTTCAAATCCCAATTTCTTATCCAGGGTCTTCAAAAAAAAAAAAAATGCACTTTGTTTTTTTGTTTGTTTGTTTGTCTTTTGTTTTTCCAGTAGAGATTAAATACTCAGCTACACAGGCAGCTGAGTTGGTAGTGATTACTTAGTATGCAGAAGGCCTTGGGTTCATCTCCATAAATCAAGTATGATAGTATATATCTATGATCCCTGCACTTGGAAGATAGAGACAAAAAGATAAGAAGTTTCAGGTCATCCTTGGCTATGCAGCAAGCCCAAGGCCAGCCTCAAATACAAATAAAAAACAAAACCCCAAAAGATTATATAATGGGCCCCTGCCCTTGCCCTTGCTATGTGCCTGAAGAACTTTGCTTCCTTTATCATGGATAGAAAGTGCTCTGAGGACCGTGTGTGTGTGTGTGTGTGTGTGTGTGTGTGTGTGTGTATGTGTGTGTGTGTGTGCGTGTGCGCGCTGCTGTAGTGTGACTAGGGTGGGGGTGTATCTGCACTAGTTTTTGGGATTTGAAGTAGTAGGCTATCCCATTTGGAGTTGTACTATTAGCCACTCCCAGGAAAAGGCCCAGTCTGTGCAGGACCAAGGGTAAAATGGATGTGGCCACTAGGAACTGGACTTCTGGAAGAGAGGAGGCTCTTGCGGTGTGGACCCATCACTGGGCACACTAAGTAGGGCTGGACCTGCATGTCAGGGTACAGACGATGCTATAATAGAAATATGAAAGTTGTAATGGTCATTGCCTCAAGATGTGAGGACCAAGACCTGTGTGGCACACACATGTGTTTACACATTCCTGTACATGTACACTCCAGTGACACCTGCTACTATAGCAGGTTTATTTAACGATACCCAGTGAGACAGGACAGTTGTGGCCCTGTGATAGACATTTCAATATCCAGCCAGGGAGGCACAGCTGGGACCTGAGCCTTGGGGTCCTGGTGTATATACTGTCCCAGTCCCACCCACACGTGTGACACACCTTACACACCAGCTCTTCATATACTTATCAGACTCTTACATACATGAAGTCCAGACCATTTTCTGTCCGGGTTCCTCTCAGGCAGACCCAGTATCCTCACAATTGCGGGCTTCCACACCCCAGTACCAGGGCATACCAAGACCATAACCCACTTCAGGACATACATAGTCCATGCTCACACTTGGATACACTCACAGTTCCCACCCCAAGCAGGCTTAGGGTACCCACATGCCTGTGGGTATCTATGGCAGGGTGTGCTGGGTCCCAGGGAAACTCTTGTGAGCAGCTGAACCTCTGTCCTTTTTTAAAACCCAGTGGAGTTGCTAAGAGCAGTCTCTCCTCCTTCACGATCTTCTTTGCCATCCCAACAGACGTAGGGCCTACCAGAGGCAGGGCCAGAAAACTATGGAATGAAGGGGAAAGAGGGTTGATAGAGTTCTTGACTCAGGGTATGTGGGGGCTGGGTGAGTCTGCCTGAGCCCCCCCCCACTGACTTAAGTATAGCTGTACAGTTCACATCAAAGCCAGCCTGAGCTCTTAACAGACCAGGCAGGGTCGTAGCCAGGGTGGCCCTATTTGACCATGAAGCCAATACCATAGTGCTTTGTTTCCTAGAAGGTAGCGCTAGGGCTCAGGTGGCCACCCCTCCCTCTCTTAGGACACCACAGCCACAGTCCTGTCACCCTTGCAGAACTTCTGCTTTTTAGTGTAATGTATGGGGGAGGGGATGACAAAGGCTGTGAAGGAGAAGGTAACTGGCACAGAGTGACCAGAGGGAGGGTAGGGGAAGTGGTTCCGAGGAGGCTCAGGCAACCAGCTTTGGAGTGGGCAGGACCGGTAGCTCTGCTAGGAACAGCTAGTGCAAAGGCCCTGGGGTGGGGCATAGTCAGCGTGCCTGCAGCACAGCAGCGTTGATGCAGTTGCTAAATGGCACCTGCTGGAGTCTCTGCTGCCTGGCTGTGCTATGCGACCTGCTTTGGTATCCTCACAGCCCTCTTGGATCTGCCAGAGCCAGTTCAGTGTGCCTATTCTACACATGAGAAAGATGGACCCCAAGAGATGAGGATCAGATTCATGACGCAGACCTGGGGCTCCACTGCACCCTGCCTGCCACCTGGCCTCTGTGGCTTCCTTAAGTGGCAGAGATCTGGAAGTCCCTGAGAAAATGTGGCTCAAGCTCTGGTGGAGGAGTGCCACATGCTTGTCCCTGACCCACCCCACCAAGGTGCTGAAGGCAGGGCCACCTGGGAAATCAGAAACAAAGGTCCTGGCCAGTAATTGCCACCTTTCACAGACTAGCCAGCTTCCTCTGTCCTTGGGAGGGGGGTGGTGGCACTCTGGGTCGGGGAGGAGGGACAGCCTAAGCCACTTTGGCAAACAGGCTCATCTCTCAGGCATATGGCCACCTTGTTTTCCTTGCCTGCCCCCAGCTATCTTCCTGCTTATGAGGCAGGAGGTCTGTCCTACTGGGCTCTGAGAATGCTGGTGTAACCCTCCCCCTTCCCCAGCCACAGGCCTGTGCATGCAGTAGAGGTTGCTCTGGCTCCTGTAGCTCTCCAGCCCAATGACCCTAGGGACCCACTCTTTAGACCCACATTCTCAGCCCAGCACTTCCAACAAAGGAGCCAGGGCCTTCCTTGTCCTGTACTGAGTAGCATAATTGGTAGCAACAACACCATGGTGACAATCAAACTTTTCTCCTGGTGTTACCCAAGGTCCTATCCTCTGGAGTAGATTGGTGACATCTCTGGTTGAAAATATCTCTTTTAGACACAGAGCTTACTGGTAGTTGTAGATGAAAACACTTTGCCAAGACTGTTGCTTTGTTTGACTTTGTACAGGATGGCTCTCCACTCTGCCCCCTAGGAGCTGGGCCTTCTAGCTCAGGTGTACAGAGAAGAGCTCAGGCTCTTAGGACATCAGGTCTCTCCTGGCTGCTGGATCTGATCAGAGCTCTGTGTGCATCTTAAGAGCAGGATGTTCCCTGAGCCTCTGAACTTGGTAGTTGGTAGATTTGGAGCCTGAGGTGGCCAAGTGAGTATGGCACTTTAGAAAGTCCCTGGGGTTCTGAGATTGTCCTAGTTGCTGTCTAAGGTCCTCACATTTCTCCCTGTTGATGGTGGCGCAGCTGTTGGTACAGACATTGATGGAAAGATGTGGTCCCTCCCTGGGGGCACTCCAAGCTGTTGAAGGAGGCTGTGGGTCAGACATGAAGAGGCAAGCATCCAGGAGGAGTCACACATGGGGACAAGAGAAGCTGTGCTGCTTTATTGGGACATCTAGGGAAGGTAGGCACTCATAGCAGAGGGAACCCCACACAGGGTTAGAAGGGTGCATCAAGGGGGAAAGGGGGCAGCTAGGCAACATAGCTGGTTATCAGAGGAGTCAGACAGCTAGCAGAGTCCCCAACAATTGCTTGGTGAGGAACCCCACCTTTATTCCGAGTGCAACAGAGGGATCATGTTGGTATCTGGAACATTAAGGTTCCTGGCTGGCATGTGAAGAATAGGCTACTGGGGTTGGTATAGAAGCCAGCCAGCCAAAAGGCAGGAAAAGAGACAAGACAGAAGCTGGATTCTCTTTCTGACTTGTAGCTAGCTACCAGGCCTCATGGCCCACAGAGTCCCCAACTCAACCTGGGAAACAATGCCCCTGTTTGGCCATGGCCCCTCAGCCCAGCCACTGCCCTCCCACCCTCCCTCATTAGCCACAGGAGTCCCTTCCAGCAGCCAATGACCTACTGTCATTGCAGTTCCATTTCATCAATGTGTCCCTGTCGCCTGGGCAACGGTGTTGGCTTGGCGGCCTTGTCAGTCTTTCCTACTGCTTTTCAGAGCCCAGTTACCCCCACACTGTGGCTACGTGGTGAGTTTTCAGTCCTGCAGGCCAGGCTGGGATTCCGCCACTTGTAATTTATCTGGCAGCAGAGGCCAGTGTCTCAGTCACCTGGACCCCTCCCTCTCTGCTCCTCCTGAGCCATCCCTGTCCCAGCCACCCAGTCAAGGCAAGTGGGTGGACACTGGCTTGCCATCAGAACATCGGCCTAGTTGGAAAAAGGGCTGACAGAGCAGCTGCAGAAGCCATCGCTCACAGACTCCTTAGGAAAATGGGCTGGGACCCCCCGCAGCTCAGCATAGCCAGGGACATCCTGGTTTGCTTTGGGGACCCCCGAGGGAGCCCTCAGAAGCACTGGGCGCCAGAGACAGCAGCGGTGTGAGCCTGCCTGCCCGGTGAGAGCGTGCGCGTGGATGAGCTGCAGGCTTTTGTGCTTGCTGCTCTTTGTATTGGAGGCGCGCACTGTGTGAGCTGCACCAGGCAGGGCTGGGCCCTGTGAGTGGGGGCCGCGGCAGGGACCAGCAGCCAGGCCTCCATCTCCTAGCAGCCCCTTGCTGTGTCTCTCTGGAGATACCACTACAGTCCACTAGAGACTGGGAAGTGAAAATGCTCAAGTTCAAGGCCTTCTGCCTGGATTACTGGCAGTTCCTGTGCCTGCAGCCGCTGCATGGGGCCTATAAAAGGTAAGAAGACCCTCCTTTGCAGAGGACCTTGGCCAAAAGGGCAATGGGACCTAGAAAGTTTGCCCCAGTCTGCCCAGCTACAAGACTGTCTTATC